AGGAAGGAAGGAAGGAAGGAAGGAAGGAAGGAAGGAAGGAAGGAAGGAAGGAAGGAAGAGAGGAAGAGAGGAAGAGAGGAAGAGAGGAAGAGGGGCTGGAAAGGTGGCTCAGTGGTAGAGTGCTTGCCTTGCATGCATGAGGCCCAGGGTTCAACTCCTCAGCACCACATAAGCAGAAAAAGCTGGAAGTAGAATGAACTTGCTGCTATACCAGCAAGAATTAAAAAAAAAAAGAAAGAAAGAAAGAAGGGAGCGAAGGAAGGAAGGAAAGAGCAATAGGAATTTCATAGGTGAAATTCTAGAATAAACAAATATTATGGCTATGGTCATATTAGTTAAAAAAAGAGAATGATGTAACAGGTTGAAAAAGGAAAGATGGAATATGAGTAAAACTAGTCTGCATAGCTCACTATTCCCTTTGTCTCTCCAATATTGGTATTTGAAGCAGAACTGAAGGCTTTGAGGCCTTGCTGATCTTGACTATCAGACTTACTCTTCACTATGCAGCATTTTAAATTTTACTTTAAAAGTGAAGCTAGAAAAGTGCCTGTTACCTGAATACAACTACCCCCTCCACCTTAGGTAATATTGTTTCTGACTTTGCTTATTAAATCCTTTTTTATCTAGAATATTTTCCTTTATAAATATTTTGCCCACATTTTATAGCTCTTCCACGAGGCCTATCTTAATCCTGATTCCCAACTTATTTCCATATAATAATTTATGGGAAATCATATAGCAGTTTCTTTTCCAGTTTCTTTATAGTTTTTCACTTTAATGTTACATAAGGGCTCCTTCTATGACATTTCTATTTTACTTTATAGTAATTTATACCCTTGAATAATAGTCTTTAGCATCCTATGGCCTTGTCTTTTTATGACCATAGTACGCATTCTAAAAAGGAATGTACACTTTAGTAGGGGTCATATGTTCAGTTCAAATGAACTTGGGTTCAAATTTTTGTCTCTGCTTTACACTACCTGTGTGTGACCTTGGATAATTTACACAGCCTCTCTGATCTTCAATTTCCCCCATTGTAAACAGGGGATATTTAGCAATACTAAATTTAGCATTACTAAATAAATTCAGGAGAATTTTGAGGTATAGTTTTTGTATTTAATATATCCTTGTATGTAAGTAACCTTTGCAATAAGTATGTCCAAAGTGTATATGAACTCCGAGTCAGGGCTCTCTCCCTGGGCCTCTCGGGGTTCAAGGCTAGCATTCTACCACTTGAGTTATGGTGCCACTTCTGTTTATTTCTAAGTAGTTTATTGGAAATAAGACTCTCACGGACTTTCCTGCCCAGGTTAACTTTGAACCGCGATCCTCAGATCTCAACACCTGAGTAGCTAGGATTACAGGTGTGAGCCACTTGCACCTGGCCCCAACTTAGGTATTTTCAAAATGTAGTGAATACTATAAAATGCTTGATATGTAAGACAAAGTATAAAGACTACATGATAAAGTTGCATAGGGCTACATTTTTGCTAAGTATTCTGGGTCACAAATGGTAGGAGGAGTTAGCTGGATGTTTGAAGGAGAATACTTTGGTTATATATTGGAAGGTATGTGTTGTTTGATGTGGATTATTGCTGGGCTTTGAGAAAAAAATGTGACAATGATACGTGGTCTGAAGTCAATATTGATAAGATTATATTTTAATAAATAGTTTAAGTTAATCAAATAGTTGAGGATTTTATAGAGTAGAGTCTATGTAGGGAAATGATAAAATACTTTCCAGTAGTTATCAAAGTTGCAAAAATTATTTGCAGTAGGAAAAATTGAATAAGGTTTTTCAGTAGCTCCTAGTTCTACGTAAGTGTTATAGGTCTTTGTGAACCAACATATAGCATTTTTATCCCTTTGTAACACATGTCATCAAACAGAATTAGAAAACAACTATGATGATTGATTTAATTTCATTGCAAGTGAGCAATAATCAAAAATAAGCATTCTTCCTTGTGAGGAGGAGGTAAGAACTGATATGATGACACATGATTGAAACTATAGTGACCAATGATAAATAACATTAATAATTGGGTGCCTAGGGCAGCAGCCAGGGCTGTTTGAGAAAATGTTTTGGCATCAGAAAGAGCTGATTATGCATGTTCTGATTTACCACTCATTCATTCCCTGTGACCACTTAAATCTTTGTGGTACTATTCCCTTGCTTTCTTGAACAAAATGTTACTAGGTGCCAATTGCATATTGGGCAGTATTCTAGGTGTTATTACCAAAGCTCCTGGCCATAAAGTTTGGCTCTAGGATCAAATGCTAGTTCACCTTAAAACAAAAATGATATATTAAAAAAAAGAACCTACAGTTTGGGCTAAATTGAGGATAGGAGCCCTTGTGATTCACTCCCTTTCCCACAGTGGTGGCAACAAGTTGTAGGAACAAAAGCCAGGATATTTGCCTATCGAGATTTAGCTATAAGCCCCAATTGAGCCCTGACTGTGGAACTGAGG